ACCCCCCCCCCCCCCCCCCCCCCCGGCTACTGGCCTGAGTAGACTACTATCAGTTCTTTCTTTTCGTGTAATACCTGTATTGATTTATACCTGCAATTATATAACCAGTTTATAGCAATTAATACTGGTTCCAAAGAGATAACTGATAAAAACAGGATGTCAGTTAGGGTATATAATATATAGTAATATAGCCTTTTTACCTTCCCTCTAGCAGGGTCACAGTTTTTTTTTTTTTTTTTAAATCATTTTCAGATATATTTCTCTGGCTATTCTGTGTACATATCTTTTTTAAACAAATTACGTCATCACCCAGCTAAAAGAGCGTTAAGATAACCACAAAAATAGAAACCCTTAGCATAGCGCTCAAGTTCTCCGGTATGGTCTAGTGGCTAGGATTCCTGGTTTTCACCCAGGCGGCCCGGGTTCGATTCCCGGTACCGGAATCGTATTTTTCTTATACGAAATTTTGAAGAAAGTTTTACGTTTTACGAATGTAAATGTGTTTTTTCTACTCCAAACTAGTTAATTATTTAACGAAAGTGGAGCATATACAGTGTATCGTGACGAATTAAGTTTGAAACTTTGCTGGACAATAATTCTAGAAAATGAACTTATTTATGCATCTGTTCTGCCAAACAAACAAGAAAACGGCTAGACTCAACTGAAATGAACCAATCAGACTGCAGCGAACAATATGTTTCTCATGTTTTCTCTAAATGTTGTCTTAAAATAGCCCACTTGGTAATTTTCCCCAATATCAATTTTTATGCGTAAATGAATTTCTGTCTAACATTTGTTACTGTTGCACTTTTAATTGTATTACGAAATAATACACGTTACGTCTTTTACCTTGCAGTCAAGTGCCACCATTTTGAATGGTGACTTGTGTTTTTATAAATACCCAAATGGTCCCTGTTTCCTTCAGCTTTGCGCAGTGGCGGTACCATAGCCAATGAGGTTTATCCGAGGCGTGGTTATTGCTAGTTGAAAACTATACCCAATACCCCGTGCTGACGTCGTGAAATACCGACGGTGGCACAATTTTTGCCCGCCTCTACGGGGGCTCATGAATACTCATGTCCTAACCCCCCCCCCCCCCTACACACACACACACACAATATTATAAACACATCAGTCATTTATAATGACGAGCAGCTTCTGTTTCACACCAAATGAAGAAGGAGTGTTCAGAATGGCAGTTCTTATCTGTTCGTAGAGACCGGGGTACACACTGGGCTACAATACATTAATAATCCACTAGACGTCAGGTGCTTCTAAAATAGTGAATTTACAAAATTAAAGTTTGCCGTACACTAAATTTGTAACAAACAACTAAGGCACACCGTCATCTGAGATTATTATTAGAGTTTGGCAGTAATTAAAATGAACATAAGTTTTGCTCATGAGCTGACGTCTATGGTGCGCAATACAAAATGTTAAAGCAAAGAGCATTGCAATTAAACCGTAGTAGCGTGTTATTAATGAGATAAACAAGTTCATTATCAAGACAAATGACGCTCTCTACTTTAGGTTGCAGATATGATGATTGTAATTGATTGGTTCTTGTTCAGCTGACGTACCAACCCTCTCATTACTTTATCTACTTTAGCAAGTTGCTTCTTCTATGCAAAAAAGTAACCATTCGAGGTACGCGTGTGACCCACATTTTTTACTTATTTATTTATTTTTTATTTTTTGTAATATTTGCATGATTCTGACTAAGCCCATTTTTTCACTGTTTTGTGCTGTTGACTACCCTCCGATATGGAAGCAAATCAACAGTAATTAAAATGATTTAAAACAGTTATGTAATTTTTACAAAAAAGTGGGCGTAAAAGCCATGACGCAAAAGCTCGCTTTTTTTGGAGTGTTTCTGAATACGTGATTTTACTTTGGTGCATCGATATCATTTCTTTAAGCCGCATCCATCTTTCGTCAAGCGTTAATTGTGTTATTTGCAAAATATCAACGTAAGTCAAACACCGAATCGGTGATGGCAAATGAAGAAGAAGAATTGTGTAACATAGAGAACGTCATGAAAACGTAAGTAGGTGACCACAAGTGCCGTCATCACTAAGAAAGCAACCCTATATATTCAAATCAGAAGGCAGTCTTGGACTCAGAGGCACAAAAACATCATTGAAGAGCAAGTCTTAGATAAAACACTGTTGTGATCGATAAGTCACAACGAAGGTGTAATATTTTTGTTTATTATTAACAAAACGGCGCTTAAAGGCAGAAAGGAGCGACAAATCCATCAGCATTCTGAAAACAAGAAAAACGTCTCACTAAAGCACTGTTCGAAGGGTATGTATTCGTTTTTATCCTTAATTTATCGACTAAAAGGGGAAGTATAATTTCAAAAATATTTGTAAAGAATCCTCTTATACCTACAAAGCAGTAGAGGGAGTGAATTTTAAAATTTACGGCGCGCACGTTTTCTTAAAGACTTGTTCTTTTTTGTCGGTGTATGAAATAGAGTGAATCAAAACAATACTACTGTAGTTTAATAAGTGCAAAGAATTAATAAATAGATAACAAATAAATAGAAAAATAGAATACTCCAGGTATAGGAACAGAAAAAAAAACAGAAAAAAGGTATAGATAAAACATGTAGAATATGCCAATAGATTAGAGGTAAATGTCTGAACATATTAACAAATCACCAGAGAACGTAAGCGTGGTGAAACTGCGACTTAGCCAATCTAGCTTAGAACATATTCTAATTATATTTTACATATATTTTGTTATTTGTGTGTTCATTTCTATTTCCTTATTCGTTCGTTTATGCAGGTTTTTGGATATTTCTTCGTCTTATAATGTGTTTCTTTGCTTGGGCTTTCTCCATTTACATTTGGTTGTTTTTTATTTCTTCCTTTATTCCTTCTTTCCATATATTCAGTAATCAGATTCGTCATTCAGTATTTTTCAATTATTTAATGTCATTCATGCATTCACTCCTTTATCTATCATTCTATCTCTCTCGTGCACTTTATTTATCCATTGATAAATTAATTTATTCAAGGGGGCAAATGACGAGTAAACCGGATACTAAATAAATTTTTACTGAATTAAGCACAGGCTAGGGTTAAACCTTTATAAGCAATTTTGCTATTTTTTTTTTTCAGATAATCCCCCAAAATAGTAAAAGAAAGCTTGTCAGAAGTCTCAGTCCCAACATGAAGCACAGACCCCAGGCGCTGCCCTGTCCTCCCTGGCATTACACCTCGTTTGACGGTCCGGTTGCGGAAACAGAGGCGCAACAGACCGAGCCGACAAAGCAATCTCGTCTTCCTCCCCTCACACTTAATCTATTGCGATATATGAAAGTGAAGAAGGAAGCGCAATCTCAACGGCTCCCCAAGATAATGCCGTCCACATCTGCCAAAACCTCCGATAGACTTGTTTCCCCCGTGTTGGATGTCAGGTCGATGACGCCACCATGCGGCGTATCGCACGAAAATGCCAAGACGGGCCTATCATGGTAAGAGGGGTTTTAATGACAAATTTCTTATTTGCAACAAAGAAACATAAAAGGATCTTCCCTTAACACATAAAATGTTAACATGTTTTGTTTTTGATGAACTTTGACTCCGTGAAAACATTTAACAATTCTTAAACTTGAAAATAGCGGGCCTTTCAAAAGCCGAGGTCGTACATGTATTTGAAATATCTTATGGCAATTAGAAATGGGAAAACTAGCTTACACATCCTTCTCACTCCCAATCACCATTATAATGCATTCTTCATCATTTTTTCCCCCTAGCTGGAAAGCACCGTACCGGCAGCAGCCCAGGGAGCTGTGTTCATCTCCTTTTAGGGAAAACCAAGGGACTGGGATCGGTGAGGCAGGTACCTATCGCCACCCACGCATCGTGATCAGCCCTAGCGACAAGGAGCGTTTGAGACGAGAAGGCGAAGGGCTGCAGTCGAAATTACAGTTGACTTCTCCAACCCTGGACCACCGTCATCATGGCTGTCAAGCCATTGCAGATATATTTATCGAAGGGTCGCATCCCCGGCTTCCTTCCATCAAGCGATCCTGTGGAGATGGCAAGGATACCAAATAAATGAACTATGATGTATGGCAATTTCAGGTTTCAACGCTGCGGTCACCTGGTGCCTTATTCCTGGACATAGACGGCGGGCCGCGACTGTGTTATTTAACTGTCAGAGTTCGTGATTGTGTTTCGGTTCAGGTGCAGAAGCAGACAACTATAGGCGGAATTTGCGAGATAATATATGGAGGAAATCGTTGGGTTTTAATGAAGCAGGTAAAATGACTGGCACGCAGTCATATTTACATGTATATACATACATGTTTGCATTGTGGTTTGATCACTGTGTATACAGAACATGTACAGGTATCGGGTGTAATTTACGCCGAGTAGATCGATTATTTTACCATACCAACATTTTCTGCCAGAACAATTACGCACTTGTAAAAAAACTGTTTTTACAAATATCAAACATTATCTCTGTGAAAATTGGAATATGCCGAATATCAGTCAAATATTTTTTCGTATTTGAGATTGACTTATCTCGATTATTGTCATTTTGTGTGTG